CTAAGAATCAGCTGGACAGATATGATAAGAAACGAAGATATAAGGAAGAGAATATCGAAAAAGGAAACTATAATAGACATAGTTAAGAAGAGAAAATTAAGACTATTCGGCCATATCTGTAGAATGAACGATAATAGGCTAATCAAACACACAGTATTCGCAAAGATAGATGGAAAACCCCGAAGAGGTCGTCTATGTAGAGAATGGCTGGATAACATCAAGGACTGGTGTGGAAGCAGCGGACAAGACTTGTCTCACCAAGCGCAAGACCGACGGTTATGGAAGAAACTAATCCACAAAGTGGTTGGCCCCGACGGGCGATAAGCCTATGGGACATCATGAAATTATGAATAGAAATATATTGGAATGAGGAATAATTCTCATTTAAATAAAGAGTATAGAATAACTTCATGAAATATTATATGTAATTTATACAAATGGTTCAATCGGAAACACGTAGCACATAGTGGCGTAACCAGGATTGGGTGTGGGTGTATCGCGATCTTATAATAAACTATTTCTTCGAACAACTCAAATTTTAACTACTCTCTGACTTATAGTACTGCCCTATTTCCCCCCAATATATCGTGATTTGATATACTAGAGAGAGACAAAGAAAAGATCACGTACTGTTTAGTACACGACTATGTGTCAATGTCATATACACAAGGATGTAAACTTAATTACATCACTGCGATATGTTTATTGACTCCTCTATGATTTATAAGTGGAGGTCCGACGGTTTCTGTAACCACCTATTAAATCTAGTCCTTCACGAGTGATGTGCTTCTTGGCACAGATATATTATCGAGTAGTATTTTTATCTTTAAACTTGAGTAACAGATTTCGCTTCTTTTCCTATGAAGAAAATATTTTTCAATCGTTAAATTATTTTTTTATTAGAATTTTTTTTTGGGTCTCTTAAATCTAAGTAATTAGAACATTTCCTATTTAGAAAATCGCATATTTCTTACTTCTCTGCTCTAGAATATCCTTTATTAAATTCTATATAAATTATTCTGTGGCATTAGCAGGAATATTAACTAGAAGAGAAAACGCAAGAATCAAAGGAGATCTCTCTCTCTGTGGGGTGTGGGTGTAGATTAAAGGAAACTCGGACCCACACCCACAGGGGCGATTCTACAATGAAATATGTGCTTGAAAGCAAGAAAAGTCAAGGCGACGTACTCGAAACAGTGATTTTGCACTTGTTGGATTGCAGTGATCCACCAATATTGGAAAGCGTGGCTGAATATTCGCCTTCATCTTCTGGTTGTAAATTCACGATTTCCAGTGTGTATATATAATCATCATTATGGTTCTGTGTTGTTTCGTGAATACGATCAATTGGTTCGATTTTATTGTTTCCTTTCATCCACACAATGCCTGGTTTAGGTGTTCCAATTGCGGTGATCCTGAGTGTCATGGTTTCCGCTTTTATAATTTGCAATGAACCATCGAGATTAACTGTGATCACGGGTTTGATGATGATGATGGACAATGTGGTTCTGGCTTCAGCTTCGCCCGCAGAATTCGTTGCCATAGCAGTATAGATTCCTTGATCGGCGCGTTCAGCTCGACAAATCGATAGTGTCGATGTTCCATCTTCAGCATCAGTTATTTTAAAGCGGCCATTGGTTGGAAGTGGTTTATTATTGAAGAGCCATTTTACTCGTGGTTTACCGATGCCACTGAACTTCCATGAGATTTGAGTATCTTGACCGATAACACATGATTGATCGTTAACTGGTTCCGGAGCTTCCACCTTGGGTTGAACTAAAAAAACTAAAAAAATCACTTAGTCGTTCATGTTGTACGCAAGAGATGATGTGAGCACTGGCCTCCTACGTTGGGGTATGGGCAAGGGGGAAAAGGGGGAATTGGTCGTAGGATTTTCGAGTAAGAAGCATGAGTGAACTGACGAGATTGACATTTTAGTGAATTCCGATGAATCTTGCTAGGTTCCAATGAATTTTTCGACACTTAAAAATCAGGTAGGACGGAATACAGGAGTGTACAGCTTACGCGCACGCTCATGAGCGTGAGCGGTATATTCTTAATTATTATTACTTTTATTATTTATTAACAGCAATATAATTTTAAAAATTTGAAACTAATACAAGCAACAACTGATAAGTAATAACGAGTAATAATTATTACCGTAATAGATACCGACCCAAGGATAGTAATTAGAATTTTTTAGTATCTGTCTAGGAGGATTTCTGATAGCTACTTGCGACCTACCGGGAGATCGTATTAGAAGCTTCCCGGATCAGATCAGAACTGGCCCCTATAGCTATTAGCAACCTACCTACAGGTGATACTCAGAACGTTTTAGGATCTGCCCAGAGGTGGTCTCTTTAGCTATTTGGGATATACTTACAGGTGATACCTAGAACTTTTAAGAAATTATCAAGGGCCAGTCCTGTATCTTTCTGGAACTACCCTAGGATGGTAATTAGAACTATGTGAGAACTTCCCAGGGCTGATCTGTGCAATATTTTAGGACATATATAGTGGTATCCCTTGTATTCTTCTGCGCAGTGTGGGAGGGGATCCGTATAACTTATTCAGCCGTAACTAGGGATGAACTGTGATCAAAACCAAGCCGCTACTCTCGATCTCGGTCTCAGTCTTGGTCTGGAGAACTTGATGTTGATCTCACAGAGACTATATGAAAGGAAGACTGGTGATTTCACAATTTTTCATTCCAGAAAATTGGAGTTGAATAACACTTCCATATTTATGGCAGTACCTTTCTGAGTTTTTTTGATGAACCAAAACTTTGAAATCTGACTTGAAAAAATATTTTGCTTGTGGTACCTCTCGATAGATCGCAAAAAGCTTTTTACCTTTAACGCAAAGGTTTTATCTTTAGTTCTGTAGAGTTTGCCGCCCTAATCACGAATATCATATTTTATATTGAAATTTGATTGGATAATAAGAAACTTTTAAAGACTTTTCTGGTTCGAGTCGTAACAATCGGACCTGATAGGAGGATATTATCGAGTCAATGGCACTAATATCTCTGCCAGGTTCTATTAAATTCGGATAGAGTACAAAAACGTAGGTTAGACAGAAGTCATTCAAGTTCTTCAAACATAATTTTAGAACAGGCTTGACTCAAGACTTGATTATTTCTTATAAGGCTTGAAACCAGTAAAATCTTTAACAATTTCTTATTATCCAATAAAATTTCAATAAAACAGGATACTCGTGATTTGCGCGACGAACTCAATAGAACTAAATATAAAAACTTTGTGTTATCGATAAAAATTTTATTTTGCAATCTCTGGAGGGCTACCAAAAGCACATTAATTTTTCAAGTCAGATTTCAAAGTTTGACTCGATGGAAAATGCCAGAAATGTGCCACCATAAATGTGAAAATGTTACTAGGTTCCAATTTTGTGGAATAAAAATTTGTAAAATCACCGGTCTTCGTGTCATATAGTCTCGTTCAGATCGACACTAAGTTCCAGAAACCAAGACTAAAATTGCTATTGTGATTGAATATAGCCAAGAAAGAGTGCGAGACCGAAACCTCGACCGCGACGACTGAGACGGAGATGGAAAGTCTCTGTCTCGGCACAAACCTACTCGCAACAAGCAGCAGTTTCTATAACTTTTTCAATTCTATATAAGTATCGTCCTTTTAACAGGTCACTCTGCCCAGTAGTGATATCTTCAAACTTGAAGCACCAACCTTAGTGGTCCCGAAAAATCCATAAGGACAACCCTTAAGTAGATCCGAAATGGCTAAAGAAACCGTCCCAGTGTAAATCCACAAATTTTACGAAGACCACCTCCAGGTAGGATGCAAAAAGTCACAGGGATCACATCTAAATATGACCTAAGAAATTGAAGGGATTATCCTTAATTACGGCCCAAATAATACTACTGATTGAATGCAGACAATCTAGGTATTGTGGACAAATCAGTTATTACTTATTACCGGCGGTAATAGTAATGTGCTACCCCTACTAGACATATATAATAAGATCCTAGCTTTGTTCCTTGGTAGTTTGCGGTCATAAGAAGAGCTAGTTTAAGAAACAAATATTCGGAAACTATGATTTTCCAAACTTTAATGAAGCCTATTCTATCGCTTATTGCCAATTCACCGAGTAACAAGTATTTAGATACATCGATTGAATATATTAGAAAAGAAACTGTACGAAATACTATAATGTATTGTTATATGAATATAGCTAAAGTGGGTTCATTATTACTGATTTCTTGCATATTCTATTTACAGAAGAAACGTTCACGCTAATCAGCGCTCGTGACCGTGAGCTGCACACCCCTAATCCAGCAGAATCCATGTTTTTTTTACATTGTTTGAAGATTGCTGTAAAGCGAATCAGTTTTTGGTGCATTGTGGTAGACTCCGACGTATTTAGTAGATTGAAGTAGCTTCTAATAGATTTCCGTACATTCCAGTCAATCTATTGTGCAATCTAATACCCTTTATTAGGAACAACAGGATCCAGCATCCGCTTTTTCTCCGTTGACCAGAATACTAGCTTGGTTTCCGAATATGTCTCGAAAACCCTTCGGGATTTCCAAATTACTAGAAACTCATAAGCTTCCGAGAAAAATTCTTGAAATCCTATTAAGCATAATGGAAAACCTGACTAGTATTAAAATGTCATCTCCTTCATTTCCACGTTCCCATAATATAGTTCACAGGTTTAGAGCAGGGGTGGATCATTTTTCTCTGCGAATTAATTTATGTAACATCTAAGAAGTTTAAGTATCTTTGCTTATTCGTTAATTTTAATAAAGAAGAGTCGTCCTATACTACTCAATTCGTCAATATCAACCTTCGTCGGGCTACTTAACCCCAATTATTAGTTTTAACGTGTTTTGTTAAGACTTGATTAGCTCAAAATAAATTTGGTTCAGTGGTTGGGTTGAGCGAAATACCACTCCGTTTCAACTTTTTTGGACAAGGCAAGATGAGTTTTCGAACAAAAACATTCTTTATAAAACCGCACAAAAGTTTTTTCCGGACCCACAAATCTGAACCCATATGTGGTTTGTCGAAATCGTTATTTTCAAGAATTTAGAAATTCATGGGCAAATCCATATAGGCATTCCTAGAATATCCTTGATTAAACGCTACAACTTATTTTCTAGTTTACAGTCTTATAGCATATCGTTCTCTGTCAAGTGTATTTAAATTTTATATTTTGTAGAAAATCGAACTTAAATTATTATGTAGGAACATATAATTACATCATTGTCTTGTTAACATCTGCTTAAAAGTTTTCGGTTGTAAGATTTCTACAAATGTATTCATTCATCGAATTTTGAATGTTGAGAAAATGCTTCTCAGAAATCGCTACATGTTTTCGGGGAACCATTTTAATAATGACTTTACATACTATCGAGTCATTGTTTTGTTTCGTCTCATGTGTATTCATTATTTCGGTTAGCTAGCTATAGCGACTTATGATAACATCTTTTTTTTGTTTTTATTGAAATGTTTATACATGACTCTATTTTGTGTGAATAGACACACATAATATAGCAATTTATTTCTTATACCGGATATGGCAAAATTGTTGCAAAATTCTTTATTTTGCATGCATCTGTTTTTAGGAACATACCAAAACATTGGTCTTTCTCTCAAAAGATGCGCCATCGAATTCTCAACAAACTTCTATTTGTCTTAATTTAGAACAATAGAATGGAACTTTCTTTTTTTTATAGATCGCATAGTACGATTATGTAAAACGATCGTATAGAAAGAAAAATTAATTTCCTACAAAATACTGCAAAAATGAAAACGATTTGATAATAAGTTATGTCTCTAGAATGATTACTTTGAAACAGAGAAATCCGACATGAAACCACACTATATTTTCAAGATATGACCATACGTCTAATAACTGAAGGAAAAAGCATAAAAACCTGCTTGTATGAAAGCAAGCGTCTGAGGATTTCAAGAACCATCTAACAGTACATAATGTGTTTTAAAAGTTGAATATTTACTTCAGCGAAAAGAATAGATTACTAAAAACTGTGTGGAAAAAACGATCGTTTCACATAATCGTACAATGCGATCTATAAAAAAAAGGGATCAATTCTATTGTTCTAAACTAAGACAAATAGAAGTTTGCTGATGAGAGAAAGACCAATGCTTTGTTATGGTCCTAAAAAACAGATGCATGCAAAATAAAGAATTTTGTTAATATAATTTCGATGTTTGGTATATGAGCTTGTTACGTTGTATTTTTATCTTTTTCTATGATCAAAATATTCTAAAATCGTGAAATTATTTTTTATTAGAATTATTTTTTGGTTCTCTTAAATTCAAGTAATTAGAACATTTCCTATTAAGAAAATCGCATATTTCTTACTTCTATGTCCTAGAATATCTTTCATTAAATTCTATATAAATTATTCTGTGACATTAGCAGGAATACTAACTAGAAGAGAAAACATAAAATCAAATGAGAGCTTTGTCTCTCTCGAGTATAGTAGTATATGAAATAATTGTGAAAGTATCGAGCAAAATACTTTGAATAGATCACCTTTTTTTTAGAAATTCAAGAAAATTCCCCGCCAGAAGAAGTTTTTCTATATTGGAAGATTATTCTATATGTAGAAATAAAGTTCTTTAATGACGATGATAAGTCTACAATGAGTAGAAGAAAATAAAATAAATTGAATGCAATGGCAATGGCAGTGAAGACATTTTCGAGAGTTTTCTATCATCTCATATATTTTTTTATGCACTATTTTGTATTCCTGAAGAATATATTTGAATATTACATCGACAAGTACGCTTTCGAAGACACTTTTTCTTATACTATATTCAGGAGATTATACAAACGTAACACTCGCAAATTATTCTTCAACACATTCACCATATAGATAAATATAAGACAATAAAAAATTTCAAGTTCTATCAGAATTTATAGTGATGAAAAATCATGTCTGTCAAAACTTTTAGACTATAATATTAAGTTAAGATAAATACAGATTTTAATAGAAATTGAAGAAGATTCTCCAAAAGATAGAAAACTTCAACAGAATTCAACTATTCAAAGAGAAAAAAAGATCCAAGAAAAATGTCTTTCTGCTATCATATTCTTTACAAGGAAATCCCTCCCAATTCTCAATAAATCTGGCTCATATTCATTGCAGAAACACAAATACATATATCTTAAAGACCTGTGCATTAATGATTTATACGGAAATATTCTTTTGTTTTGTGTCATCAATATTATAATCATGTACATCTAATGAAGTTCTTTGATATTTTCGAACGAAATGCAATTCTTTTAAATAAAATATAGTCTGATTATATTTCTATGTTAACTTAAAAATAAATAAAAGTATCTATTTAAATTATAAATAGACAGAAAATTAGTTATGTGAAATAGGAAAATAGCACGCTTGAATAAGCTCAGCACTTGCCATTTGTAAATGTTTATGTGAGTTCTATAAGTCAACTATATCAGTTAACATAATGAACGATTCGTATTCATTAAAAATGCTTAGTTGTCTGATGATTTTACTTGTATGAATTATTCTTACTAAATTTCTCTATCTATCTATTCAACTTCATATATGTATAACTAATGTTCATTGTAGTTTTAAGTTGATTTATACAAATTTTGTTTTTCGAAATTTCTTTACAAAACGAAATGTTTTATTGTCTGTCCACACACTATCCATATAGTCGATTACATAGTTTTGATCTTTTTTTTTCATTTTATAAATTCAACAGATAGATAATGAATTTTAAAGTGACGGTGAAGCATATAAAATTCTCAATATCGCTTTAATTACAAGGTTAAGGTGAATGCGTAATCAATAGGATGTTTTCCTTCATAATCTATACTCTGACGTTATGAATCATTCTTCAATTTTCTTCTTCTATGCAGGTTAAATTGTAAAAACATTATATGTTTTCTTTCGTTTGGTGCTATTCAATGAGTAGCAAATTCCTACAATATAATAACATACGTTACTTCAGATAATAGAATCTTTCGAATCATTCTCTACACAAGACTAAACCTAAAAAGAATATCGGCTAGTATTTTAGATGAAAATTCGCTGATTCAAAAAAAAATATCTCATGTAATCCTTTTTTATTCAGATAATTACGTTGAGTTTGTTATCTCAGAAAATGTATCTACTGATAGATTTTTAAAATTAATTTCTTATAGATAGTATATTTGTATAAGACTGAATGCATAAGATTATCTTCATCTGTATCTATCTATTGCTGATATATACATGGCTGTAAACTCGTATAATCAGCATTGGGTGCGGGCGCTATTCTGGAATTTAGTACACCTACACCCATTTAACTCATGTATTATATAGTATTGCTACTTTTTTTTATCAAAGTCTACACATACCTTCATTATCGAATCAAAAATTTCAATAGCAAACATTTTCAATTGATTTTCTTTTCATACTCACAATAAAGAATTTACTCTTTTTTTCTTATCTCATTATGGTAATGTTCATTAAATCGGTGGTAATCAATTGGGAGCAATACTTAATTAGAGTAAGGATTCATTCATTTTAAAATGAATTTAAATAGTTTAGATATTTCAAAGTAGTTCCACCATCATCATGCCAAGATGAAAAACTTATTTCGGCTTCGATCATCGAAATTTTTCAAATATTTTGAATTATATTCGATAAAGTAGTATAGGCATACGTTTTCGAAATTAACACAAATAACTGGTGCAATAGATGGTTTCCATCATATTACAGTCAATTGATGTGCTTGTAAATCATTGATGTATGTATTTTTCTTTGTCTTTTAGATTAGATTGAAATGGTTTATCATATTTGATAATGAATATCTTCTACAAATAGCTGGTCTATCGAACTCTAGATTTCATATTTATACTTAGGTTATTGAAATTTTTCATGAAGGACGTAAAGAAGCATCCTCAGGATTCATGACTCATGCTTTAATACGATCATCATCTCAAACCTTCTTAAAATGTAATATTAGCAATGAAAAGTACTATTTCAATATCAAACCATCTACAAGAAATGATAAATCTAATCTCTTTTACAAAAATGACTTGAAACGACCAGGACATCTTTTGATTGACTAGGAAATTTATATACAAATATAATGAGTTGAATCATAATCATAAAAAAATGACAACAAATTGCTTCACGCTATTTAAGATCAATAGCTATCGTTTTAATATGTTATCTCTTTTTGTAATCCAACTCTGATATATGCAATTGTGAAAATGGCTACATAGATCGTCTGCAGACTATCATCAAATAACATTTATCAATATATAAGTTTGTCACCGCTCCTGAAAACATTACTAGATAAAAAAAACTATTCAAATAGACTTAATATACGTATTTGACTGATCATAATACTAGCATGCCAAAAATCAAATTTCGTATTGTGAAGTATATACTGCAATTTAAGATGTTTTCTACGTACTCTATCCTCTCAATATAGCTTCGGAATTTTTACTCTCATCATGTATTACTTCAAATGTTATCAATAATCTTTGCAACGCGTTCACAATATATAGATCTCTATCAGTTTATAAATAGAAAATATTCCTTCATATTTCTATATCAGACCAATCAACCAGCAACAAATAGTATGCCTGATATATCTTAAAAATGAAAATAGCAGTGGAATATATTGAACTATTAGACTTCATGTTTATGATAAAGAAATAAAATAATTACATCTCTAAATAGCCGAACTAAGCAATGAGAAAAGAATTTTCTAAGCCTATTGAACTCTTATAACGAGAATACATGCATCAAGTTTTTCGATTAAATACCGTTATTATGTTTTGGAAAAAAATTAGCATGTGTTCACAGGTTCGACTTTTTTAGTGAATATGTCCATAAAGAGAAAAAATAATATAATTTAGAGAAATTGATATGAACTATACTTTAAGGCAATCATATTCTATGTATATAATTGTTCTCTCATTAGAGATCTATCCAATTGACAACATGAATTCTTTAATTAATTTTCAAGAATACAAGATATGATTAAACTATTTGAATGTTACATAACATTTACAACTCAGTAGACTTATCTTATAACGTTATCAACAGAATGTCTCATTTTTGAATGTAATATAAAATCAAGCTAATAATCCATGGAAAATTATAGATCCTTTTGGATACTTGTCATATTATTCTGGTATATTTGATTGATAGAAGAGAAACAAAAAGTTTTCATTCATAATCATTCCAGAACAAAACTTTATTTTATACTGATCTTGGTAAATGAAAATAATAAACAAGATATTTTTTCTTTCGTTTCTATTTTTTGAAAAATAATTTTCCTGTGTTATTCTCGAATGCTTATTTATAAAATGAAATGATAATTCATTTAGCAACATTAGAATTCGCCAGATGAAATATGTTGACATGTTCAATGCCATATAGCTGTGAAAAAATCTTTTGTCTAGATAAATAATGAATAAATAGTATTCATGCATATAATCTCTCGGATTACTTTGTATGAATTGAACGAGAAAACCGAAAGCTTTTTTCTATTAGATTTCTTATGTTTCGAATTTTTTCTAGAGCAACACTAGTAAATTTTGAAAAAGTCTAATGAGTGTATCCAAGACATTCGATTATCTCATCAGTTTCTATTGAAATCTACACCGAAAAGATCTTCAAAAATTATAAAACTATTTATTTGAAAGAAAGTTTATTATATAGGAAGGGTATGAATATCACTATGTGCCTTCACTTGGCTCGAACCTAGAGACTCACAGTTACACCTTTTGACACGATTTTGCAGCGATAAATAGATCTACTTACTGAGCTGATGTATTGCGCTTCTCACTTTGTTCATTTCTTCCTCAAGCGTTGTAATTTGCTTACGAATAGATACTGTTTCACTCTTTTGGGTTTGATTTTCTGATTGAATGTCGTCAATTTGAGTCTGTTGCTGTTGTAATTGAGCTTTTAGTTGTTCACGTTGAGTCTCTTGCTTATCAAGTTGAATATTTTGTTGTTTAGATTCTGTCTTTTGTTGTTCAAATTGAGTCTTGTGCTCTTCAACCTGAGTATTTAGTTGTCTGACTTTTGTCGTTAGCTGTTCAAGCTGAGACTTTTGCTGGTCAACTTGAATCTTTTGTTGTCCGAGTTCTGCCGCTTGTCGTTCAAGGTGAGCCTTTTGCTGGTCAACTTGAGTATTTAGTTGTCCGATTTCTGTCGTTTGCTGTTCTGTTTGTTTTTGGAGCTTTTCTATACCCAAACTTTGGTTTTCAATAACCCTATACAAGATATCGACCATTGGTCTTAAATTTTCGAATAAACACGTTTTCGTGTGTTCATTATGTTCGTTCCTCGGTCCAAGCCATTGGCATCCAATATTCTTCCCTGGACAATCTATTAGATATTCAGAACAGCTTGTCTTTATATGTTCATCAAAGGTTCCTCTATTTATATTTGTTTTCTCACAAAGCTGGCATCGGACTTTAAGTTTATCGAGAATTGAGATGAAATTGCGCAATGGAGGGTTTGGTATCAAATGATCAGTGTTCAATAATTGATTACACAACTGCGACGGGCAGTTGGGACCACTTCTCATATATGTTTCAATACATAGGCGGCAATAAGTATAGCCACATTGAGTCACAATTGGATCAATAAAAGGATTATGGCAAAGTAAGCATATAAGATCTGAATCAATGCTCTCTCTAGCGATATATTCGTAGAAACTACTTGATATCATCTGAAAAGATGAAATGATCAAATTGAAAACAAAAAGAAATTACTTCTTCACCAGCTCTAAGTGTCTAGTAATTAAATCAATGTCATATTCTACCTAATGCTATTTCTTTGTTACGATGTACAACATAGATAATTAGTAGTAGCAGCATCAAAAAATTCGAATAGAATATCTACTCTTAAACTAACTGAATTCGTTCAGAAACTAGTTTTCCTGTACAAAAACTTCAGCTCATATATAGTGACTACATGGGATTACATACTTTCTCACATATATACGTATATAGCATTTAGCTTTGAGTGATGAGTTTAACAAAAAATAATCAGAAATATCTTTTCATGAATGGTAACACTTGAGAATCAGAATTATTCATATCTGTTAGCCATTCTTGTACAAAACAAGGAGACTACAGTGCGTGGAATTTTTCTATTAGAATATAAACTCGTATTGAATAAAAATTACAATAACGATAAAAAAAGGATTAGCAACCACAACCTTAGTTTAGTATATTTGTCTCGAAGTTGCGGACTAGACCTATTGAAATGGTAAAAGAGTGATTTTATTTTCCAAGAATACTTTTTCGAACTCAATTACCTCTCACTTATGTATATTTCTTGACTGTTTCTTACTTACAATTATATAACATTGTTCATGGTTGTGATGATCATTTTTTGCCAATTTAATATCAGTCATCACATTAACGGGAACTATCAAGCTGTGCAAGATATCAAAAACGACTATGCATATGTTTTTGAATAGACAACTCAGTGTCATAATATAATTAATATTCAAATGACAACAGACAGTCATTATGCAGTTTTTCCATAGTATATGCTACTGTCGCTGAATAGCTGTGCTACAATTCGTTGATTTTTCAGAATTCAGAAAAAACATTCCACAGTTTTCTAAACGTCAAACATTTCCCACACATACCGTTCAGCTACGCTATACTAATCTAATCAATCAAATGTCTCTTACAAATTTCTAGTTGTTGTCAGTCTTTATTTATGATATTCCATGCAAGACACTGATAGTCAACACTTGCATTGTGTTGATTAGTGCGAATTTATTAATTTTTTCTTCGCCCTTGGATTCATTTATAATGAACTGATTAGAATATATGTGAAATTATTTTATATCTGCAGAGTTTATTGTAATAATCGCAAGAAAAGTTCAAGGACTATCATGGAAAGTTTGATAATCGTAATACAACAGATAATAGAGAATAAAAGATCGTTCAATGTAAAGTATATGAAAATCTATTTTTTAAAAAAGAAAAGTCTCACAATATTTTAAGCAACTAAAATTGTGTTTTCTCCGCTAGAATAAAGGAACATGAAAGAAAAAGCGAGAAATATGTGATGAATTCGTACGTATGTGGCTGCCCGTCAGGCTAATAATTACTTTAATTGTGATACTGATTATATTCCACTAGGTAGTAAAAAGTCTTTCAAAGAAAAATACTGAAGAACATATACTGACGAAAACAATATCGCTGATTATAGAAACATTTACGATCGAAATCTTACAAAAACTATTTTATCAAATATTGACTAATGAATTAAATCTTCTTACATTAATTACCTGTATTTGCTTCCAACATTGATCTATTTCTTTTTGAATATATCAAATTCTAAGAACAGTTCATTGGAGGAAAGATACCAGCAATCAATATCACTGTTAGCTAGTAAGTTTATTCTCATGGAATACGTATTCAACTCGGTGTCACAAAATTTCGATGAATTGGCGATCATGCATGTTCCAAGATGTAACTAACAATGGAGTTGTTTGTATTGATAAGTAAAAAGATAGGTCATCTTCGGATAAAATGAAAGCTCTCATCGCGAAACTAACAAGATTAAAATATTAGCTCCCCTTGGCTTGTCTAGAGGGAGATATTCGATTTTTCAGTGAATTTTCTCCACAGGGTCTGCTTTCCCAGCAATATCATATTTTCGAATTTGGACCTGAAACTTTGTATGCATGAAGGTCTGAATGAGACTAGTTTACAGGAAAAAAATCAGAAGTTTTGGACAAACTCTCTTCGAGATATGTCTCAAGCATACCGCTTCTATAGAAATCGTCAATATTTTGAGAGATTCATATCTCGAAGAGGGTTTGTCCAAAGCTTTTGATTTTTTTTCTATAAGCTAGTATCATTGAGACCTTCACGCATACAAAGTTTCAGGCTCAAATTCGACACTGAAAAATCGAATATCTCCCTCTAGGCAAGCCAGTGGGAGCTAATATTTTAACCTTGTTAGTTTGGCGGTGAGAGTTTTCTCTTGATGTAAAAATATCTAGTCTTTTCAACTTACAATACAAACACCTTCATTGTAAGAAAAAGCGATTGATCTCTTCAAGGAGTCTCAAAATTATCATATCGTTTGTATAACAAGGCTCACGCTTGCAACAATAGCTAAGTAATGCTGTAAATTACACACAACACCATGCCATAAAGAAAGATGAACATCTAAAAAGAGCGTAAGATATTTCTTATATCCAAATTTTAGATAAACTGTATCGATAATCTTGATAAATTACTCACCAAAGTCAAATTGTGTCAACCAACAATAGCCGTAAAATTTTCAATGAGGCTTTTTGTGTTGGTACGATGGAAAAAGACAGAAAGGAAAGATATCGAAAACAAAATTGAGGGCTGAAAATGTGTAGCAAGAGTGAGGGTGATGCCTTCGATTTTTTCATTTCTGTCTTTTCTCATCCATTCTTTGTGTTGGCTTTAACAAGTTTTATATATTAGGAGACTGTTTGCCATTTTATTGAGTAGCTTGTATGCTGTTTTTGGAAGATATCAACATTTTACTGTTCTTATCTTTTTTTGTTTCTGGCTTATTTGATCAAGTATCAACTGCACACTTATCAAAAGTAAAACATTGCAGATGATAAACACGCTAGCAGCGAGTTTAAACAGGAAAAAGCACACAAGTAAAGCTAGTACGACATTCGAGTATTTTCAGTTTTGATTTACTCCCCAGTTTGCGTTGGATAGAGAACTTCATTATTCATGGAATGGTTAGCACTTTGATGAAGATAATCGTGCAAAAAACATGATTTACTTTAAGAAGCACTCACCTTTCCTTTTGTACTCAGCAGACATAAACAAAGTATTTCTGCAACCAAACTCACTTACAGGACTATTCTAGCTCACACATACTCTCACGCACATCCCAAGGAGAATCATTCCTAGAATCGGATCCGATCGAATTCGTTATGGAATTCATCCACCTGGGTATGGAAAAACTAAATTTCTCAATAAAATTTCTTTCAAAAAAACAGTTTCCTATCGCTGCTAATGCATTTTCAATGAAAATAAACGCTTTTTATTATCAAAATATTTATTTTATGAAATTTTACAAGTCTCACATGCTTCTGATTAGTTCTCACTTTGATTATAAGATCTTCGAAAACTATATGAATTTCAAGTTTTCTGAACAAAGATAATGACAATGGGTAAGTAGCAATGAATTGAAGTGCGCGCCGACATGCACGACCGAAAAACAAAAGTTTTAGTACTAGTACTCAGCGGAGTCACATTTTTGACTCCGAAAAGAACTTTTTTTCTCATAATTCAATAGTAATTGCCTCAAACAATAAAGATTGAAAATCTGATCACATTCGTATATTGTAACCGTAACATTTATCTTTATATATGACAAATAAGTAATATACTTGCATACTACATTTTGAGGTAAATGCGTTGCAGATACACATCAAGAGCTGAACTCTACCGTAAAATAACCAATTTTGCTAGGATTACAATATATAGTTGTGATCAGATTTTCAACCTTTTATTGTTTGAGACGATTACTATTGAGTTATGAGAAAAAAAATTTCTTTCAAAATTTTTCGTCATTCCTGTACTTATCCCTCAGTCACGAAGAGGGGGGGGGGAGGATCGCAATCCTTTTTCGTTTTCGAAAGAACCATCTCGCCCATTATTTTCAGGATGAAGTTCTAGTTTCTCTGAGACTAAAATTTTCATGAATGAAAGACAGCAAGATAGCTTCAAGGATTGTTTTTCAATAGAGTTTTCACCTAGTGAAAAACAATGCTAGACATTTTTCGGACCCAGCATTACCCTTCTTTTTAGAATATTTTTTTGATGTTTTTGTGCAGAATCAAAATTCAACTTGAGTCTCTTAAATTGAAGAGATGAGATATAATATACTGCACAAAAGTAGTCGTAAAACATTGAAAAATTCTGTCAGTGCTCATACTTGTTGTACAGAATAACCAGTGCCGTAACCAGGGTAAGGCATGGTTGGGCTCAACCCAACCACCGGGGCTGTGCGCCCTACCATCGATTGTTTTTAGAAAAAGATCTTTTTTTTTGTAATGCTAGGCAATAAAAAACTGCACGATTGAATTCCGTCTGATCTCTTTTTTAGTTGATACTAAAGCTTTTTGCATTGCAAATGAAAACTAATTTCTTCTCATTATGCAATGAAATTTAAGTTCTGAAGCAGATGTTGAAAAGTTCAAAGTTAAACAGTAATAATCTCTCTGCTGAACCATTTTTGAAGCAGAGAATAATCTAAAAAGACCACTTTTAAATGTACATAAAAACGGACAAGAATTCAGAAAAAGTAGGTGTGCTTATATGACAATCGGGGATCCTAATTGTGAGCTGAAAACGGCCATCTTTCGCCTTTCATCGTGCGCTTAAACGCGTTTTCAGCCAAAACACGTGAAAATGCATTGCAAAAAGACAAAAGGTGCTGTTTTTTCTCGTTCTTCAGAACCCGATTAACGATCTCCTCACAGATAACGACTATGAAAAAAACGCCCACTTCTTGTCTTTTTCTAGTGCACTTACTGTACATGCATTTACAAGCTTTTTTGGCTGAAAACGCGTTTAAACGCACAGGAAGAGCAAAGAATGGTCACTTTTCGCCTAAAAACGCTCGCACATAATGCAATGTCGAATACTTGTAGAGTGCTTTACACGTTTTAGAGGCAGAAAACGAAACGTCATTAAAAAAAATGTTTTTCAAGTTGAATACAATATTGTATTCTTATTCTATGAAACGAAAGTGATGCATCATCAAACATAACTTTTTGGGAAAACGTTAGGGCTCAGCCCAACCACCCGATAAATCCCGGTTATGCCACTAAGAATAACCCCAAAAAGTAAGTGACATACAATAATTTAAGGGAAGGTCCGCGGAACCACTTCGCAACTTTGCTAGGAGTCGGCCGCCGGTAAAATTTTGATTGTCGTTGTAACTATCTAAAAAGCAAGGTCAAGTCAAACCATAGGTGAATCCAAAAAGGATTAGATCTTTCTGATGTGCCGGGGGAAAATGACAGCGTTTGCAAGTTATACACCATTTAATTACATTTGGTACAAAAGTGAAGTTTTCAGGGTGTCAGTAGTATTTTATACTTTTCTCCGCGTCCGCTCAATCATTTGACTTCGGAAATGTCTCAAAAGATAGAGAAATGTATTCTCTACAAAACCTACTGATTGATTTATTTATCCAACACCATATGTCAGTAGATAATTCTAATATACAGACAAAAATTACGTTTGGTTAAAATGACATCTTTTCAGTATTTTGACTATAGCCAAGTCGAATCATGCCATCTCAAAATAGTTCATGTATTTTCTGAAAGCCCTTGAAATTCTGCATCTCCTGTGGTATTGCTTATTTAGATAAAAGTTGAGCGAAAATAGTTACTCTACACCACAAATGTTGATATTGGATAGTTTTCTCTGTTCAGCTGGATGCAATATCAGCTGAGTATATTCTGTATGATTGTTCAAATCCAAGGTATGATTTCAAATTTGTGATCATCACGAAAAGTTGATCACAAAAATATTATTAGATTAATTACAAAGCCATCTAAGCTAAAAAGCACCTACAGCACAGCAATAATTTGAAGAATGTTTTGGAATAATTTCTAGTATGCCTATTTAATCATTAAGTCAGAGACTTAGAAGTAAGAATTTTGCTTTATTTAAAATCTCTGAACAATTAGCTTGAAAATCTGCTATGTACCTTTCTCGGTTCATGCTTTATCATTGAGCAAATTGAACTTTTCTCGATGCTGTCGAAAATCGATATAAATGTGTTAAAACTGCTATCATTTATTTTAGAATCAGGGCATGTAACTACGTGGATTCATGTATTTTTTGAAAAAATTAATTTCTTCAAAAAACGACCCTGAGGCCCCCCTCAAGGCTTTTTCTCGAAAATTTTGCCTGTGCCCCTCCCCAGAGTCGTTTTTTGAAGAAATTAATTTTTTCAAAAAAATACATGAATCCACGTAGTTTTATACGCTGTTTCTAAATAAGTAAATCATTTTGTTATCAGGATAACTGGTGACGATAGAAGCAGCCATAAATAATAGCAATTTTAACGATTTATATGAATTTTCGACAACACCGAGATAAGTCTAATCAGCTCAACAAGAAAATAAAATCCGAGAAAAGTAAATAGGAGATTTTCAAGCTAAGTGTTCATAGATTTTAAATAAAGCAAAATTCTTACTTCTAGGTCTCTGACTTAATGATTAAATAGACATAACAGAAAGTATTCGAAAAAATGCTTCAAATTATTGCTGTGCTGTAGGTGCTTTTTAGCTTAGATGGCTTTGTAATTAATCTAATAATATTTTTGTGATCAACTTTTCGTGATGATCACAAATTNTAGAAAGTATTCGAAAAAATGCTTCAAATTATTGCTGTGCTGTAGGTGCTTTTTAGCTTAGATGGCTTTGTAATTAATCTAATAATATTTTTGTGATCAACTTTTCGTGATGATCACAAATTTGAAATCATATCTTGGATTTGAACAATCATACAGAATATACACAGCTGATCTTCCATCCGACTGAACACAGAAAACTGTCCGATGTCAACAGTTGTGGTGTAGAGTAACTATTTTCGCTCAACTTTTATCTAAATAAGCAATACCACAGGAGATGCAGAATTTCAAGGGCTTTCAGAAAATACATGAACTATTTTGAGATGGCATGATTCGACTTGGCTATAGTCAAAATACTGAAAAGATGTCATTTTAACCAAACGTAATTTTTGTCTGTATATTAGAATTATCTACTGACATATGGTGTTGGATAAATAAATCAATCAGTAGGTTTTGTAGAGAATACATTTCTCTATCTTTTGAGACATTTCCGAAGTCAAACGATTGAGTGGACGCGGAGAAAAGCATAAAATACTACTGACATCCTAAAAACTTCATTTTTTGACCAAATATAAATGGTGTATAACTTGCAAACGCTGTCATTTTTCTCCGGCACATCAGAAAGATCTAATATTTTGGATTCACCTAGGGCTTGACTTGGCCTTCTTTTTTAGATAGTTACAACGACAATCAAAAATTTACCGGCGGCCGACTCCTAGCAAAGTTGCGAAGTGGTTCCGCGGACCCTCTCTTAAAACCTCTTCAATTCGGTTCGCCGATGATGCCATTATTCTCTCAGAAAGAAAAGACCCCTCGTTAAAGCAGCTTAACGTTAATGTCTTTAATTCTTTTTATAATTTATAGATATTTTCATTTTATTTGTATTCATTTATCGTGATGTAACAACGGAAAATAAAGATAATAATCTTTTGAACGAATTATTCCAAATTTACAGTGAAATTTTATATCTTTCAATTTTGCACAATTCATACGCGGTGTATTTCTTGTAAAATTCTCTGTAGCATTTGTTAAATCTTGGCAGCTAACATCAAGCTTGCTAAGACAAAGTAAATGTGTGTTGCAGTCGGCAAGAAATTGTTGGGTGTGGGTGTTGATTAAAAGAACACCCACATCCTTCGCTCTATTTGATGGTAACATCATTAAATCGACAGTTCGGGTGAAATTGACGTCGCGTGCCAGTATCGAGTTTTTGATTAACACCCATGAGTGAACATCTACATGCTCGAAATTATTAAGATTTTTCAAAATAGTAAGCAAAATTTCATGTGATAGATCAAGAATACTAGCAGTGGGTGTGGGTGTTATTGTACCTAATGTCTGCCTGAACAATACCAATACTACATCAGTATGATTTTTATTTCACAAGAAATAAGAGATAAACCAAAACGTACACATTAAATAAACAAATGGAAAATTAATAGAAAACATTATCAGCATTGTGAATACGTTTACGTGTGAAATCTTTTTGAGATTGTGACCGATAAGGTGTCGTTGCATCATAATTATGAGACTTTAATATTGCTTTCGGCATTGAAACATTCCCTAATAGTTTAGCCTCGAATTTATAATCATCATCAAATGATAAATCTCGATATTTAACAGAAATAACTTGATTATCGAGAATATCTTCACAATTGGGTAATGGTGCTGTAATTTTTTCTCCAATAAGTTTTATTTTATCACCATCATCAGACCATATACGTCCAGCCATACCACCATTTAATGTAGTTGGTATGAAAAGTGGCTGTTTTCTTCTTATTTTATTTTTACCTTGAATATATGATTGTTTCAAATAATCATAACATGAATTACTCGAATGAATATATAATCTACTGTAATCACGCTTATTACGTTTTCGTTCTTCATCGGTTAATGTTGAATAGACATGTGCAAGTGTTCGATGTAAACGTTGTTCATCAACAAATGGTAATAACGCTACACCTTGCCATTCATAACGTTTCCCATTTAGATCAATACCAAAGTTTAATGGATAAAAATCAATAATAGGAGATTCTTTTTCCGTCATTAACAGTTGCCATTCGGAAGGTAGAAAATTTCGAGATTGAGAAGGAAATACAGACATTAATTGTTCCAATGGTTTAAATGGTTTTGTTGTATTATCGAATAGGACTGGTACATCGTTTAGATGCAGAAAATCCGATGCAAATGGTGCATAATGATAAGGAAAATACCTAAAAAGAAAGAAATTGTTGAATAATAATTTTTAATAGAATTGAATATTGAATTCCTACCAATCCCATGCTGGTACACCTTGATAATAATATTGAAGAACCCAACATAAACCTCGAGTATAGTGTTGTGCAATTTGTGTTCGAAATTTTTCCACATGTTTTTTCTTGATATTAAATTTTTTTTTATAATACCTTTCGCGCCAACCTTCTTCCCAAAGTCGAACATTATCATTCGGATCATTATCTTCTTCTTCATTGTAGTCACATTTTTCGGTACCTTGACTTTTATTATTCGTATACGAACCAAGTTGTACTTGACTAGATGATGTCCAAACAGGTACAGGTCTACAATGAAAAGATTTTTCTATAGAACGACATAACTCGACGAAGAACAAATTAATACCTATTACGATCTGTTGCCGATTTAAATCGTTTATTTGATGATTGATAATTGTTTGAACGGTTTCGTTCGCGTTGTCGTTGTTGTTGATCGTTTTCATGGCGTTGCATAAATATTTCATCTTCCATTTTACCGATACTTGTTAAAATGATTTCTACACGTTCTAAATATGGTATTCCATTTTTTGTTAAATAACCTTTAAATTTGGGTACATTTTCTTTATAAATATTAATCAGACGATCAATTGCCTGTTCGCTTATTTCAAGTGATGGTAAATGTGGTAGAAAATCATTTCCAACAAAAAAACACATAAATACCCAATCGTCAATAGCACGTTCGAGATCCCATTCGAATGGTAATTGATGATGAATTTCTAAATCTCGATAAAGATATTCACGTAATATAGAAAGTCGTACAAATATATATCGAGTTTCACTATAATATTTAGTTGATTGTAATTCATCATGTTTACCAAATTTTTCTTTTGGAATACCTTGACATTGTTTCATGTTATGACCGAACTGTTTACATATATCACATGGGCGTGGTGAATTTGGTTTAAATTCTTCACGTATAATAGTAAAATAAGGTTCATGTGTGGCTAAACCAAGCATAATTAAATCAGCGTCAGCACCACATAAAACATGATGTGTGTTCGGGTCATGATCTGGTTGTGCACGTTGTCGACGAATATAATCCATTATTTTATGTTCACCTTCACCAGGAACATTGGCATCCGATAAAATAACTTTGATTGAATGCCAAGCTGGATTTGTATTCATGCGATGTCGTATATAATAACGAAGATGATCAGCTAATTTCGACATGAACGGTGTACCGGGAGTAATACAATTAGAATCGAAGTGTTCAGTTTCCTGTTGTTGAGTTTTATCTTCAGGTAAAAGACCACCGTTGGCGAGAATCTCATTTTTTATTTTTTCCATTTGTTGAGCTTTGTCAATCGTATCTTTTGATGCTCGAAAACGTCTTGAACGTTGTTGATTCATTTTAGCTCGTGGTGCAACACCGTCAATGGCCATATAAAGTAATTTACGTGGACGAACAATAGAAAATAAACGGTCGATACATTCAAATATTAATATCATCATTTCATCTTCATTTTTCGGTGGTGGCCGATCTTCTGGATGTGTACATGGATGAATAATTCCATTCATATCCAGATAAAGATTATCAAACTAAATCAAAAATATTTCAAAATTTGATCTCTTCAATATTTACTTCTATTCCATTTGGATTCGAACCAGTTTCATCTAATGGATGAGAAACGCCTTGAGTATCTTGAAAATAAAAATAAAAAATTACAATTCCATCAGCAACCTATTTTTAACAATTACCCATTGAAGGATTGTCTTCAATACAGCTCACAATAATAGATGGATATTTTTTTGTTAACCAACGAAAAAATGCTGGAATTCCCATATTCTAATAGGAAACAAAAATATAATCTTTAGTTAGATGATTAAAAAAAAATTCGCTATTCATTTCGATTCGATGATGATAAATTAAAGTGAAACTATTAGTCACTTATTGACCTACAGTTTCTCTTTCCTCTTCTATACTATATATGTAACTCAAATGAATAGGTGCTCTATCTATCATAGACAATGAATTCACTTTTCGAAATTTTATTTTAAAATAAATATAGATGGAAAATAATAAATAATGATATATATTGACCAAAACACATATACAATATAATTCTGTATATCGAGAAAATTAACTATTTTTCAGTTTTAATATCTTGCAAATGCATATCATCAATTACAATGGCAACATTTCTAGTGTTTCATGATTTAGACTGAATAATTTTTATGGCGACTGAGCAATATTCTTTTGTTTTATTCAATGCATTCAGATCTATGGAATGTAACAGTTTGTTTCTCATTCGGATCCAGTCTTTATTTTACACTCGAGCAATTTTTCTTAAAGAGTGATATATATATAGACAGTCATTTTTCTAGTGTGTTTGGCGTGTTTTATTTCGTACGTGCAAATTCTCATTTGATTTCTACTGCAAATAACAAATGCAAATAAATATCAGCATAATAGGATTGGTTTGTTCTCAGTGATTAAGCGACAAAGAAATATTTTGCACAACTTTGTTGAAAAACTTGACATTACAATCTTGGAAATGTTAGATTTACAGGTTTTTTTTCAGTATATTCAGTTGATTGTGGTATTGCATTTTGTTATGCAATACTGATAATGAGTGTTAATAAATATATCTGTAGATTTTATAATTTGCTTCCATTTCTCTATAGACATTGTTTGACAAAGATAAAATAAAGTTATTTATCAAACCTTGAGTGACTTTTTCATTGTCGCATAAAAGAAATGCTTTCTGTATGCCATCTTACGCTTAGCTTCGTCATTCTTTATATTAGTAAGTCAAAGTATTGTTAGTAATATTTATGTGCAAACATGTTCATTTTATATTTGAAGAAATTCTACTAATAAGCAGTGCAGACGTCAAATGTTACAGTTGCTATCAGGAAAGATGTCCAAAGCCATGGAGTCCAAATAATGTTCAACAAATAACATCTGTAGACGGTTGGTGTCTTGTAAGTATTGCATATAAATTTAGCATTTTAGTTTTTCATAATAAATTTATTTTTATATTCAGTCATTTAGTACTGATAATCAAACGAGTGAATCTATATATGCGCGAAATTGGGCGCTACCTGGAACATGTACAGAAAATAAATGTGAATGGCGTAAAAATGCTACTGATGCTTCGTTCTATGTTTGTTGCTGTAATACTAATCTTTGTAATGGAGCAACTAGTGAAATAACAACTACACCTAACAATGGACAGATACAATTCATCAGAAATACTTGGTTTGTTTTCATAGTTGCTTTTATACTTTTGATTACATTGAAGTAGAATATATTAGACTGTTATTTCATATTTCGATTTTGTTTTTGTAAACTGCATTTTATTTTAATTGGTTTATATTATCTATTGATAAAAAAAAGAACAAGTTTTCTTATCAGTGCTGACATCATAAATTCGTTATTATTGTTAGTTAAAAGTATCTCTCGCATATTCTATGACAACTTTGGTCATAAAAAAGTAAAATACGAGCACATGTACGCCTTATAGATAATTATTCGTTCTACAAGTACAGATGTAAATCGGTCTTACTACTGTCAAAATCTGGGCTGCAATTCGACCTATACTTCCTATATTTTATCGAAATAAAGTAGAAAATTTCTGAAAACCTCTTCATTTTTCTATTGTCTTTAGACGAAAAAAACTTTTAATGTGTATAATCATGTATTTTGGACAAATTCTTGTATTATAGTGACATTTGTTTTAAACAGTATTTTTCCTTTCGCCTATTTAGTGGGCTGATTGAGAAATTGTTTAATACTAAGTACAAAATACAAAATAGTTCAAAAGAAAAAAACATTCACAAAATGATCATGTACTAGTTTCGGGC